GAGTTGGTTTATTTATTTTATTTTTTTATTTCTTTAATCAGGACAGTGCACATTAATGAACAATCTCATACAGATTGTAAATGAGCCAGATTCTAGCATAGTTGCTAGTTTACATCTGTCGACAAAACAACACAAAATCACATAATACAATATCAGTTAAAAAAGAGAGACACACATTCAGACAATGACATTACAACAATAAAATTAGTGAGTGCATGACTGGGAACTTTTAAGAAACAGTTTAAGGTGCTTTTTAAATGTGTAAAAAGTGGGACATTCCCTGATGTTTGTTGGGAGTTTGTTCCAGAAGTTTCCCCCTCTGACTGGTACAATGGTTTGTTTTCCAAAATATTACACTGATGGAATGACAGGGGCTTTTTTTAAAACCATTTTTTTAAATTATTTTTTCAGAAATAATACAATGTGGTACGAATGTACATGTGTATTTTTACATTTTCAAACATAAAAAACAACAAAAGACAAACACAGGGTGATTTCAAGAGTGTGAGAAAAAACAAAACAAAAAAAAACCTTATTGCATAATTAGTGGAACGACAGGTCTCCATCGTTTATTGAATATGGCTGTTTGTAGTCTATATATGTTCCATTTGGTATATATCCCAGACCTTCTGGATCCAGAATGATATGGGCTTTTGATCAAAGATTTTTTAAGATTTTTTAAATAATATTTCTATTGGTTTTAAAGTTGTGTCTCCAGTGAGTGAGTAGGTTGTGATGCAGTACTCCAGTGTTTTTCAACCTTTTTTGACCCAAAATACATTTTTTCATTGAAAAAATCACGAGGCACACCACCAACCAAAAATGTTAAACAAATCTGTATCCGCCTATAATAACACTATAGTTATTCTTATTTTATCTTATCTTATCTTAAGTGTCTTGAATAGGAATCAAATAAACAAAAATGTATTTTTATCATATCTTATATTTCTTCTTTCAAATTGCTCTAAACATGTCCACTTCAATATACAAAATTATATACAAAATCTAGTCATAAGGAATTATTACATGATTACTCCACCAGTCACTAAAACAGCACAGACACTCAAAAATGGCATATTATTTGCAGATAATTAATTCCTCATCAAAAAATCTTTTTGGACCAATTAGGTGAAATAGGATGATTTTCTACGGCACACCTGACCATCACTAGTGTAGCGAGGCACAGTGGTTGAAAAACACTGGATTAGTGAAAATATCATTGAGTGTAGGAACATTTCAGCAGAACTGATTGTCATGGATGACCGATGTTTGTGACCGGTTTTCAAAATCACTGCAAACACAATTAAATTGAATATACGTAACTTTAAGCAAATCAGATCATCATTTAAAAAGCACCTTAAACTGTTTCTCAAAAGTTCCCATTCATGCAATCACCAATTTTATTGTTGTAATGTCATCGTCTGAACGTGTGTCTCTCTGTTTTAACTGATTTTGTATTTTGTGATTTTGTGTTGTTTTGTCGACAGATGTGAATTAGCAACTATGCTAGAATCTGGCTCATTTACAATCTGTATGAGATTGTTCATTAATGTGCACTGTCCTGATTAAACACAGTGGAGGAAATAAGTATTTGAGCCCTTGCTGATTTTGCAGGTTTGCCCACTTACAAAGAATGCTTATTTTTCCTCATCAGATGGTTATCAATTTTTATAAATTCATATGATGTGATTTTCTGGGATTTTCTTTGGGA